ATGTAGACTCAAGCTTACCTGTCAAGGATTGATTCAAATGAAAAGAAAAAATTTCCTCTGAATTAAACACAGACACACACACATGCACACATGCACATGATTGCACACCCCTCGATCACTATACTAGGGAAGCTCCTACTGTACTCAGTGCCAGCTTTTTATTTTTTGTATCAAAATCCAAATGAGAATGGCATTCTTCTGAATTACACCACAAAGGATGCCAGAGATTACTGTCCACTTTAAGGCGGGTGAGGAGATGGGAGCCCCAGGTAACAGGTAAGAGGTGGGTCTGCTAGCTACTGGCCTTCTTGGGGTTCTTCCAGTCTGTAAAGGGTCTGGGCTCCTAAATACAACTGGTAATAACTATGGATCTCTGGAAGGTGTTGCATGGGATGAACCCTACAATCTTCACACCAAACAGTTCTCTTTTTTACCCTCTATCTTTCTAGCAAAATACAAAAATGATACTCTGAAGATTAGATCTCAAAAATGACCATCCAGGAGCAGATGCACAGCCCACTGTATGTTAAATGAAAGACGCCTGAAACTCCATGAGGTAAAAGGGAGACCAGTCAGACAGCAGGATGCTTTGAGTACCCTTTTCTGGTGTGTCTAAGTCCAGTTCCTCCATGGCTTCCCTCCGTCGATCAATTTCAATAGTCGCCTCTCCAGGCCATCCAGGCCGCAGAGGTTCTCCATTCATCACACCCAATGTGGATGTCTTCTCCTGAAATCCCGGATTCTTTTTTGACAGTGACACCAATGGCATCTACCGGTCCTATTTAAACCATTTCTCTCTCGCCTGTCCGCTGAGGTACTGGCAGCAATTCTGAGGGTGCAGCCACGATTAGGAAGGTCAGTTCACAGATGCTTAGAAAGTCTTGGAAGAATTTTCTTAAACCCCAGAACCCTGAGAAAAGTGTGTTTGTTTAAGATTATCAGGTTATAAACGTTGCTCTGCTACCTTATATGGAGAATCTTCTGCCTTTTGGCAAACTTTTTTGTACCGGCAAAATATGGGACCAGAAGCACTAATGAGAATAACAGCTTATAAGACATGAAGATCACCTCATTCCATTCTCACAAACACCCTGAGAGGTATTTGGTATAATTTTGTAGAGTTTTTAAATAAACATGTTCATAGAAATTAAATTATTTTCACAAGGTCACCTGGCTGGTAAATTATAGATTCACTGTCAATCCAAGGTCTTTCTGAAGACAGACTCCAAGCTCTTCACCCTAAGGTGCACCTATTTGCTCTGTATTAAGGATAAGAAAGGTGTTTGGTATCAAGAAAAAGGCTGGAAGAATTCCATTTAAATAATTCTATTTCAGACGCTTTACCTGAGAGATCCAAGAGTTATTTACATAAATCTCACATTATTTATCTGTCTGTGATAGAAGAGAGGATTACTACCCACTAGGGGTCGCCATACATTCTCCTTTGTATCAGTATTAATGTTTGCATGAAAACCTCAGTGCTTGCAATCACTTATCCTGATGAAAAATGCAGGCCACCTCTTTGAAGCTGAGGTATACAGCGTGTCTCTGATCCTGGGCTCTTTTCTTCCCAGTCACTGGGACAGGCCAGTGGGAAACCTTCTGAGACTCCAAAACCCAAATGAATCCAGATCCACCATTTGCCTTTAATTGATAGAGGCCGATTTGTTTTGTTCCAAGGCACGTCAGAGCGCGCAGAGTGAGCATTGTGTCCTGAGAGTCAGCCCGTTTCATCGTTCTTCATTAGGATGCAGTGCGGACACCCCCGGCACCGTCAACTGGGCCAGAGAAACAAAAGCAACATGGAAATTGGAGCAGGCGATAAATCCCTCACTCTCCACTTTTTCAAAACAAGGTTCTGACCATTTACTCAAGGACTTCTTTTGTCCTTGTGCCCCATAAAAAGGAACAGGAAACTTCAGAGGAAAGAAGGAGCCCCAGTTTCTTACAAGGTGGCCCAAGGAGGCTGGAGGTAGCAGAGAATGCTGGCAAGAGCTTAGGTTGGCCTGGAGGCCAAAGAGGGGCTCACTCCCCTGGGAGAAGGTCACTCGAGAGTAGCGGAACACTTCCTTCCTTGGGAAACAATTGAGGGAAGGTGAAACCTGGGGTAGTAGCTCTGGAAGACTCTCCCAATGGTGGGCCTGCACATGCTCTTGACCCTGGAACTAAGCCAAACCTCACGAACTGTTTCTTGTTTTTTATCTACCATATCATGAGATCCAAGGAACAACTCTCTCCATAGATTAATGGAATTCCTTTGAAAATAAATCCATCTCCAATTTGACAAAGAATAGATCTTAGTTTCAGAAACACAAGTCCCAGTGTATACTTTGAGGACTGGTGTTCATAATGGATGACTCATCTTGCACCTTGGAAATTTTTTTAATGGCCTTTTTGCCAGTTGTTCTCAAAGTTTAAATATGTGTGCCCTTTCAATTAATAGTTGAACATCTAGGAATTTATCTTACAAAAATATCTCTACATGTGAACAAAAACATGCAAGGATATGCATAGCAGTCTTCTTCATAATAGAAAAAAAAAGAACACAATATCATGTCCAGTTTAAGAAACTCATCCATGCAATGGAATGCTCAACAATCCTTTCTACAAATGAGGTAGACCAATATGGACTCACTTGGGAAAAATATCCATAACATGGCCACTAAAAATAAGCTGAAAATGTGTATGTATACTTTAATCCGCTTTTGTTTTAAACAATTTTTCAGCCTTGGAACTACTGACATTTGAGCTGGATAACTCTGTTGTGCAATTGTTATAAGCATTGCAGGATGTTTAGTGGCATCCCTGGCACCCACCCACTAGATGCCAACATAACCCGCTTGGCGCCCAACCAGCATTATAGCATTACAACAGCCAACACTGTCTTCAGGCATTGCCAATTATGACCTAGGGTTCAAGGTGGAGAACAAATTCACCACCAGCTGAGGACCACTGGTTTGAAATAATGACATATAGAAAGCTTAGGTTTAAACATTTTAGGAAAAAAATCTGAAAGGATCTACCTCAAGTTTCTAACAGTTTCTCCTGGGAACCAGAACTGGTTGGAACAAAACAGTATTCTCTATTTTATTTATATCTATAATATATGTTTGATTTTTTAGAATTATATATTTCTTCTGAAATTAAGTTTAAAAATCTATTTCTATTGCACTCTCACTTATAGAAATGCACTTGCACAAAGAAAATAAAGAGAATAGCTTGTATCATTGACTGCCTTTAGAAGAGAAAGGTAGAACAGCCTTTCCTAGGAAAGAGAGACCATTGAGGACTCACTAATGGAGTACAAAGGTTCCCAGAGCTCACCAATTACCCGGGTCTCACCAAGTCATAGGACAAGAACAGTGCCAGAGGCATTTTGAACTCCATGGGAAATGTGCAATTGTAACCTCTGGGTTAGATTTTAACAGGATTAGCCTTCCATCTTCTATCTTGAATGTTTCATGTGCAAAAACGAACATCTACGTTCCCACAAAGACTTGTACTAGATTACTAAAGCCGTATTTAGAAGGACCTTTCCCTCACCAAGACCTGTGTTCAATCACCAGTAAAAGAGAGGAGGAGAAATAGGGTGAGGGAGAGGGGAGAAGGGGAGAAAGAGTAGGGGTGGGCATGAAGAGGGAGAGGAAAGGAGGGGAGAGCAGGGAAGGGAAGGGAAGAAGAGAGAAAAAAATAGGGGAAGAAAAGAGGAAAAGGGGAGAAAAGAAAAGAAGGGAAAAAAGAAAGAAAAGGAAAGGGAAGAATACGGTTTGGGAAGCAAGTGACGAGGAGGTTTTCAAATGAGGGTTAAAGAATGAGAACTATCCTAGAGACAGGTAGCGGTGACAGGCCACAGGTGGAAGGATTTCCTTCTGTCATGACTTCTATTCCACCTCCCATGGCCCCATTTAATTCCAGGCTGGCTATAAAACTGTTGGAGAAGTATGAAGCTTATCTCACCAACTCTGGAAAGGCTTCTTCATCAAAAGACAAGAAATCCTGTACTTGAGTTTCCACAGACCCCAATCCACAGGACTTCCTCAGTAAACATTGGTTGGTTTGCCTATGACTCATTTCCTATTTATAGGGTGATCATGTATTTTTTTTAAACTTCATGTCACAAAATATTCTTTTTTATCTCTTGTCACAACTACTTTAAACAGGTCAAAGCATTCTTTTTTATATTCATTAAGATTATTGGTACATTTTAGGTACACAGTATGATGCCATTCATCATTGGGAATTTGTACCTTTACATGATGTATCTTATTTACATGATGGTTCTTATTTTTCCCCATCCACCTGCTCTCCCTTCAATCCCTCCAACACCCCCTCAACTTACAAAGTCTTTGTTTCTGTTTTTTCTTCCTCTTATATTTATTCCTGTCCGTTCAGTCCAAAGGAGAGGGAGAATGGATGGAAAAAGCAAAGAAGGGATCATGTATGTTTTTACCCAATTCAGAATGCTTTGAATGTGAAAGAGAGAGCTATTAACAATTATGCCAAATTAAGATGCATAAACTGAGATTGTCCCTGGGAAACTGAGGCTCACGGCCTCATCCCCATATACATTTACCATGCTGAATTCAATCTGTACAGTACCACACTGGAGTCCATGAGCACGTCCAGGACGGTAACTCTAAAATTCAGATCTTAGGATGGACAGGGGGTTCACACTCTTAGCCACAGGAAACACAATGACAGGAGTTTTCTACTGTTGACTTTTGTCTCTGTGTTTTTGAGCTCTGAGTACTATCTGAGTACTACTGTATCTTTTTGAAGGGTATTTGCAGCAGGCGAGGGCTGGAAATGTCAACAGGTAAATGCAGGCAGTTCCAGACACACAGTCCTGCTCTCCTTAGGTCACTCAGTGGGATGTCTATGCCATGTGACACCTTGGATGGACCATCCTAGACACCAAAAAAGCCAGCCCTATGAGCTCCCAAAGCCCTCTCCATGTCAGACAATGTAACAACTTTACTTCTACTCAAAGGGATACTCACAGTTTTCACAGCGCTGCCCAGTATAGCCTGCCAAGCAGGCACATTTATAAGATCCACTCGCATCCAGGAGGCATGTGCCATCATGCAAACAAGGGGATGATGAACAGGCTAGGAAGGAAAAGACGTTCCTTAGTGTCGTGGTGCACTGAGTCCATCTCTTCACCGAAGTCTTTCACTTGACTTCTTGCATTTTTATTCTTTGTACTGAATTCATGTTACTACTATTTAACAATGCTTAAAACTGGTACTTATTAAGTGCTGAATGCTGCCGCCACTACGTGACACTTGTGAAGCCCCCAGAAGTATGCTCAAAGTACCTCTAGTCTGAGGGGCAAAAGAAAAGCACAAATAGGAGCATTAAGCTAAGGAAAACAGAAGCAAGCTTATATTTCTCCCACAGGCACTCCAGAAGCATCCTTGGATAGCTTTACAGTGCATTCTTTCAAGAAGGCTCAGCATCCTGGCACCAAGAGACTGACACTGGCTCATATCTTCATGACCTCGCTGAAGATGTACTCAAGAATTTCCAAGCATACGCCCTGTAAATATTAGTCCCTTGTGATGTTAATATGTGCTCAACTAGATAAGCATTCTGGGCTCAAATGTGCTGGGGAAATGCTGCTGACATTCAGTGGTAATTAGCCAGGTGTCTTTACCGTAAGCTCCCTCAGTCCAAGGCCATAATACACACTGTGAAGTTCTAAGAATGTACACGATAGTCAGTCTTTCCCAAGCTCATTTGATCTCAGAAGCTACATTTTACAGAGCATCTTGGGGAGTATCTAAAAACAACTGGGATACACTAGCCTGTATGTTATCCACCATCCCGACATACACTTAACCCAATATAGAAATATATTACTTGAGTGTTCACTCTATAGAGGGCACTGGAGAGATACAAGGATGATTAGGCATATGAGGACACACTTCAGTGTTTTTCCACGCCTGAATTTGTGCTGCATGGCACTCAGAAGCAGCATGCACCACCTTGTTCTTGTACCTGGTAAAGACACTCACAAAAGAGTCCAGAACTACTTCAGGAAGTGGCAGGAATAGTGCATTGAAAGCAGGTAGAAATATCTTGAGGATTACTGGTAGTGTGTGTTACAGCAAAAATTTTTTAAAACACTCATCGTGAGTAGGAAAATGGATACATATTGAAGATATATTCCTAAGTGAAATAAATAAGTCACACCTGTGTAATAGTTTCCCTGGTATGAATAATCTGCAATAAAACATAAGATCCTAATAAGATTACTGACATTTAGAAATGAGAAGAAAGGAGCTAAAGGTGTAGGGAAGGTGGGATGGGTACGGGAAGGGTAATAAGGGAAAAGAAAAAATTGTGAGATAATGAAAAGATGAAAATAAAGTGTTTGTAGATGGGAAGGGGAGGAGGGGGTGAAGGGAGGGTAGGGGTAAGGGGAAAAAATGAGAATCAAGATGTCATGTAGAGGTACAAGTGCCCAACAATGAATGTAACTGTACTGTATCCCTAAAATGTACTAATAAACTCAATTAAAGCTGAAAAAAAAAGCAAAGGAAGAGAAATGGGGAAAAAAAGAAGAAAAAAGAAGAATCAAGATGTACCATGTACAGGTACAAATTCCATACGATGAATGCTATCATTCTGTATACCTAAAATGTACCGATACAATTAATTTTAAAAAAACATTCATCGTGTATGTGATTGTATTTGTCTCCACGGGCTTCACCTGTGATCTCCTCAAAAACGGCATGGAAGCCATCAAAATTCTTGGAGCCATCAGAACGGAAGAGGACATGGAGTGCAGGGCCCGTGCTCCGGACAGGTGCTGGTCGCTCATTGCCACAGAGGCGCTTGATAATGGGGCTGTCACTGCCGTCTCCATCGCGGATCTCCACGTAATCATACTGGCACATGTAGTCAAACTCCAGGCTCAGCATGACAAACCTGCAGTGGGGGGAAGGTGACGGAAGGGACAGGTGGACCCTGGGCAATCCTGAGAGACAACAGACAATGACATCGCACCTGCCTTCAGGGAAATACACTGATTAGGAGGACAGATAATAAATAAGCAAGGAAGCCAAATATGCAAGGTAATCCCAGAGGGCTAAGTACTTTATATACATTACCCAGGTAAAAGCATAAAGTGATTGAGGAGGGCAAGTTTCCAACACAATGCAGTCAGGGAAGACATTCTTGAAGGCCTCATACATGAGCAGAGATTTAAACAATGCATTGGAACCTGACTTGTGAAGCCAGTGGGCAAGAGTTCCAGGCAGGGGCGTTATGACTTCAAGGGCTCTGAGGAAGTAATGAGCCGGGCATGTTGGAGAAACTGAAAGAAACTCCGCAATGCTCTAGCTGAGTGAAAGGTAGAGGAGTGAGAAGTGAAGTCAGTGAGAAGAGTGAGAAGCAGATCAAAGTCCAAGCCCAACAGAAAGCCCCTGGGGGTCACATAATCACTGGACTTAGGCTCAGAGGAGAGGAGATTCCAGAGCTACAGAGTAGAATCAAGGAAGCCAGTTAGGAGCCGGGATAGCATTCCAGTGAGAACTAGAAGCGGTTTAAAACAGACTGGAAGCAGTGGGGAAGGAGAGAGGTGCATGGCCTTGAGACTGTTTAACAGGCAAAGAATATATAGCTTTTGTCATAGTCTGGATGTGGAGAGTGATAGAAATGGGGCGCAATGGGTGACTGCTGAGCTTTCAGGGTGTGCACTGTGAACAGGTTTCCAAGGATTTCCAGCATTACAGTTACATTTCAACAGGAGGCCCAGCTGGAATCAGATGGAAAGAAATCCCCTGTTTTCATGCCTCCCTCCTGCTCTTTGCTGGGAAGGTTAAATGCTTCTCAGGCCTCCATTATTTTGTATTTGGGGGAATCTTAGAGAGGCACGAAGGGGATTTTATTTATTTATTTTCCCCGAGCCAGCCTGGTGGAAAGTCCAAGGAACAACCCTCACTGCCAACCCTAGGGACCTCCGGATATGGGGACACCAGCTCATGGCCAGTTCTGAAAAGGAGGATTGAAGCTGGGGCAGTTTTGTGGGATCCTTCCAATTTGGAGCTCTATGTTGCCCCTTCTAGAGGAAAGAAAGCCATTCAAGAAGCCAGCTGGGGATGTGACAACCTCAGGGTGTACTGATCCACCCAGAAAATACTGACAGAAAGTTTGTGTCCTAGAGATCAGGGATTTCAACCACTGATAACCCTCACCACTGGTCAGAGAAGAGGTAAGTGGACAAGAGTCCCTGTGGTGGATTAACTAGTGGACAAATTGGAATGCCCAGCTAAACTGAATCAGCATAGCCTGGGCGTGAAAGATTCACTTGAAGATTGCTGCCAATGGCTACAAAAAGAGGATGGGAGGGGAAGATCAGAGGAAGTTGATTTTCTAGGAGAAGCTTGCTTCTGATGGTTTTCCTGATGCGAACTCGACTGTGCTCATCGGAGGAAGATCTCAGGGCCTCACTGTCACTGGGAATGGCTGCTGTTCTCATCAGGGAAGCTCTGATCTCCACCATGAGCATACTTTTTGGCTCTAATGTAGATCCCTCAACCTGGTGGCATAAATCCTTCACCCCACTGGCGCAGGTTTTCTGGCTGCCACCCCTGGCCTTTGGGCCTTCTGGGTGCAGATCCTTGATACAGACAAGCATGAGACATTGCTGAGGGCTCTTGGCCACCGGCTGGACTCATGAAGGATACTGCCTTGGACTCTAAGACTTTAGCTGGGCTTGTGTGGATCACTGCTGTGGAATCCAGGCCCTTGGTTGGGCCTTGAGTGTGCAGTTAATCTCTTGCCCTATTCCGTATTTAACTTTTTGGGAGAATGTCATAAAATAATTCTATGAACTATGTATTAAATGTACTCCCTCACCAAAACCCTGACTACAAGAGCCCTGATAAATCCTAGGGATGTCAGAGCTACTCCGTCCCCACACAGAGGAAAAAAGGAAGTGTCCAGGAGAGAAGAAAAATACAGTGGAGTGAAGAATAAAGTGTTCATGTTTCACCTTTATCCTCCATCCCACTACAGTTCATGATGGCCTCAGATTCCTCAGTTGTGGCCCTGGCCCCTCACCTCAGTTGGATGATAAACCCAGGTTTGGCATGAATGGTCCATTCACAGCGAGCATTCAAGGGATAGCTCTCCAGCAAAATCTGACCCTTTGGGGCTCGAAGAACCTGGCCACATCCTGAGAAAAGAAGAAAAGGTCAGGATGTAGGGATCAGGGTCAAAACAAGAGCCATGGCAGAAGGACTTCCAAGTCTTTGAGCTCATCCCATACCACTGAGAACAGAACAAAGAAGGATAAGGGAGAGAGAATTAATATTTCTCAAGCACTTGGAAATGTGCTACGTAATTTGCATAAATTAATTCACTTAATCCACCTTACAGCTTGAAAAGAGGTGCGGTAACGACTCAGTTTTTTCAGCTCAGGAAACAGAATCAGCGAGTTCAGTGGAAACTTGTCACAAAGTTTCAGAATAGAGAATCAAACCTAAATGTGCGCAAATATAAAGTCCAAGCCACTCTACAGTCTCATCAAGATTCCAGGTGCAAGCTCCAGTCAAAGGAGAAGGACCCATAGCCCATCTTTCCCCTGCCCCACGCAGTTAGAAATTGCTCATGTTAATCTGCTCTGTGACCATTTATGTGACAGATGCCTCTTTATTTTTTTTTTTTTCCAGTACTAGGGATCGAACTCAGGTCCTCATGCTTAAAAGGCAGGCTGTGGAACCACTAAGCTAAATCCCCGGCCCCACAAACGCCTCTTTAATACATGATGTCAAAAGGAAGCAATAGCTTCAAGCCAGTTGGACTGGACTGATAATCTTCAAAATTTTTCCTACTCCCGTCTTTTTTGTTCAAGCTCTTATGAAGACCACTAATTTAAAAAATGGAAGGAAGGCTCCTCATTGAGGCAGAATCAGGGGCCCCAAATCCTCCCCCTCCTTCCCCACTGGTTCCCCGAGATTACATCCAAAGGCTTCCATCCCTGAAATTTCAAAACTGGTGGGCACAGTGGTCTTTAAATTACCTCATATTTTCTACTCAGAGACCACCCAGACCTTCTCTCAGGCTAAGCTTGTCTGCCTCTCATCCACTTGCCCACACTGCCACAGCTGTGATACCAGTGGCAGGCTCTGCACTTCCTTTTCCCTTAGCCTAGAAGACCCATGTTCGTCCACATGTCCTTCCTTGGGAATTAAGCTCAACTGCCATTTCCTCAAAGAGGCCTTCCTGGGTGACTCAGCTGCAATAGGTTCTGCTATTTAATAGTCACTATCCTGACTCTTAATTTTCTCTGACTCTTAATTTTCACATCCCTAACTGAAATTATGTGGGCATTTTAAATTCTTGTTTCCTTTAGTAGCCCTGGGACCTCTTCTAGCTTGTACACCTAAAATGGAACCTGACGCACGCTCGATAAACATCTACTGAATAATGACTGTGATATCTTTCGAAGCCAGGCAGTGGCTAAGCACTTCAAAAACTCATTTCATTGAATGCCCATAGAGGACCTAAGCAAATAATGTTTGTCTTCCCATCTCCCAGACGCAGAACATTAAGGCTAGAGAAAGCAGGTAACTTCCCCAAGATCATATGGACAAGAGAGGCAAAAGACTCCGTAAGTAACTGTACGGGTTATAAAGCTAAGGATAGAAATTTCCAGGCCTGACTGCCCTGGGTTTGAAACTCACTTTTATCTTCTTTTTTTTTTTTTGGTAGCAGGGATTGAACTCAGGTCCTTGCGCTTGCAAGGCAGGCCACCGAACTGCTGAGCTAAATCCCCGGCTCCTCTTTTATCTTCTCTAGCTGTGCGGCCTCGGCAGGTTACTTTACCTCTCAGAATCCCAGCAATTTTAAGTCAGGTGTCAGTGCAGTGATACGTACTTTGTATAGATTGTGAGACTTTGGTCTGCTTGTGCATGGAAACCCCACAGAGGAAGAATCACTAAATGTCAGCTGCTGCTTTTGGGTGACAGAGCAGGACTTTGAATTTGGACCTGTCTAGTCCTGCTGCTGGGTCTTGACTGGCACATTGAACTATCTTAGGGACTTCCTGCCCCAGCCTCCTCCCGCACCACCATGAAGCAGCAGGACTTTTCCTCTCCTTCCCAAAACAGATACACGAAATCCCCCCTCCTTGAAAGTGTACATTCCTTCTTCCAGCACACCTCACACCGTCATCGCCCACATCTGCCTATCTCCTGCAGGGCTACGGAAGTGCTAGGCTGGGTGTGAGAGACCAAAAAAGAAGCCTTCCTGTGCAGCCCCCACCCCTCAGGGACTGGCAGCTTCCCAGCCTCCAAGGTGTGAAGTCCCAGCTCCCCAGTGAAGCTCCTGCAACAAACCTCACATTAGAACCAGCAGCAAATGCTGCCAGCCTGTTTCCGGTTCCTTCCTCCATATGGGAGCTGGAATCAGAGAGCTAGAACCCTGGGCCCCTCCCCAAAGGCAAGAGGAGCTGGTGCCCATCCTCATTTCTGGTCCTTAGCAAGTCCACTGGGACTTGAGCCAGCTCCACGGTTTCATGCAGCTGATGAGGGACTCAGGGAGCTGAGATCCACATAGAAACCAGGCCTGGCCATGTGAAAATGCTGGATCATTTATTCCTCCGGACTCAGAACACATCCAGTGTCTCAGCTCTTCTTCATGCTATTCCTTTTCCCTCTGAAGGGGAGGACAGAGTTGGCCCCGAGATGGGGAACAACCGCAGACAAAGAGGCCGCTTCTTGGAAATATGCTTGCAGACAGGGGTATTAGGTGAAAAGGAAGAGGAGGAGGAGGAGCCCCTCCCTCCTCACATCCAGGAGCTCCTTCAGCTCCCCTCCCACTCTACTCAGGGAACTGGCGGCCTGGGTCCTGAGACAGACCAACTGCACCTCTCCATCCAGGGCAGAACAGTGAACACATCCCAGTGTCCCTGCCAAGGAAGTACCGCTGGCCAACACGCAGGTGGTCCTGAATTGAAAGACCAGAGCCAGCAAAGGGCCCGGAAGACATGTTCGGATTCCCTAACAAGGTCCTGCTGTAGCGGGCAGGAGTGTGCGTGTGTGTGTGTGTGTGTGTGTGTGTAAAGCCAGACCATCCTCAAATCCTGGACTCATCTCCCACCCTTGCACATTGCTATAGGCTGAAATAGGGGTGGCTGGAGAGACTCGGCTTCTTCAAAGTCAAATGGAAGCCGGCATCAGTTTCTAAACTAACAAGAGAGCTGGAAGACTCCCAGCAAGTCAAATCCCTGGCATTCACGAGGAAATCTTGTCATCTCCACCATTAGAGGTGGGGAGGGGATAGTAGGAGAGAGATACAACATGCTTCTGAGAAGTAGCACCATTTTATTTTGCTTTAATCCTTCCTCATAGAAAGAAAAAGAAGACTTAGACAACCTTTCGGGCAGACAAATGCATTTGCATTTTCTTTTCCGCTTTTGAAGATGACTCAGGAGCTGGGACTCAGTCTATGAAGCCAGACTGGGACTGAAGGTCATTTCAGTCACTTTCTGCTTGTGTAACCCTAGAGAAGTTCACTTGATTTTCTGAGTCAAGCTTTCTCATTTGGAAAGGAGACTATTTTTCTCATTTGCTTGTTTGAGATTTAAATGAAATATTGTATTTAAAGTCCTTGGCACTGTGCTTGGTTTTAGGACATAAAGTCTTAAAAATGCTTAATAAATGGCAAGCAGTATTGTTATTTTTGAGTCTTGTCTGGATTGGAGACATGGAGCATTTTGTCACAGGAATCACAGGGGGCAGTCCAGGCTCTGACCTGCTGCTACAGACTTAGGAAGCTACTTGTCATCACTGACTATGAAGATCTTGAATCCACCAGGCCCAGCCACTCAGACGGTGCTGGTAGAGCCAAGACCTCAATGATGCCATGTGAACCGCTCCCTGCACCAGCCAGGAACGGGAAGGAAGCCTCCACCTTCCACATGGCTAAGGTCACCCCATGGTGACACCCCAGGCCCTGAGACCAGCACTCAGAGCCAGGGCCTCAAGCAACTCCAACCTCAAGGGGTACGAGGTGACCTCTGGGGTGAGGCTTCTTAATTTGCATCTTGGCCCTGCCATTGATAAGCTGTGTGACAGCAGGAAAGTTACTTATCTCCCTTGAGCCTTAATGTCCTTATCTGTGAAATGACTCTGATGAGGGCTGCAGTATGGATTCAGTAAGCATGTGAGGCCCCTTAGAGCAGGGCCTGGTCCATAGCAAGTGCAAAGCGAAGGCTTTGATCGTGGTTTCGGGACTTCACTGGGTATAATGAGGGATTTACAAGTTACTCCACCACACACCTGTGATTTGGCTTAAACCTCCATCTGTTCATACTTTACAATAATTATTAAACTGCTTGTCCCTCTCCGTGGCACAGTTCTACGGGAGCAAGGGCATCATCTGTCTTGTTCACACTTTTATACGTGTGGAGCCAGTGTTCAATGAATTCTTAACTGAATAATGACTGTATCAATTAAATACCTCTCATCTCCCAAACTAATTAAGCCATTTTAAAATTAAACAACACCAAGCTCCAGCAAATCTTTTTTCGCAAGTCACCAAGTTGCTCAGGCTGGGTTCAAACTGACAATCCTCCTCCCTCAGACTTCCGGAGTGCTGGGATTACAGGCATGAACCACCATGCTCAAAGCATTTTTACACATTCCTGCCAGTTTGTCTGCCTGATGGTACAGTCATGTGTGGACCACCAGTGGTTCAGAGCCACCTGGCAGTGAGACATGAATTACAGCCCTGTCGTGAATATAGGAAATGATCTGTCCACTCAGAAGAAATAATTGTTCAGCAAAAATAGTATCTACCACTCTACTACAGAAAGTCTTTCCTCCCTGAAGTTTCCAGGGTGCTCATAAAAAAAAAAAAAAAAAAAAAAAAAAAAAAAAAAAAAA